CAGAGACTTAATCCGCCTTGTTCTCATACTGTGCCGACCTGGGACTTATCTATAGTTCTCAGGGCCCTACGGTGCTATAGCCCTGTAAGACTTACAGTGTCCTATCGAGGTGAGGGCCCACTCCACCAGAGGGATGGCCTCCTCCTGGGCGTGGTCCAGTGGGATTTCTATTGGTGATATCTGTGCGGCCGCCAGCTGGTCGTCGCTGTCAACCTTTACTAGGTTTTTCAACTTAGATGTCCCTGGCCTCCAGGCATGGATTTTGTCTGCTTAATTCACCTAATCCCCTCTGAGAGTAGAAAGGGTTTTGCTATGTTGTCCCCAGCCGGGTGGCTTGGGCCTCATAATTAGCTTGTGCTTTTTAGGAGCCCTCATTACGGGTGCTCCGGGGCTGGGCTCGCAGAGCGGCTTATTTCTGCATTTGCTTATAGCACGGCGCTATTGGATGCATTCCCCATATGCGTTCAACGCAACGGGAGAGACCGTTCGATAGGGTACGCTCCGGTTACTAAAGTAACCTTGGTTTCCTGAGATAAGGGAACGAGTGCTGCATAAGCTGCCGTGCTATAAGGCTGCACGCGAGTCGATGGCTGTTGCTGACAGTCGAAAGATTCTGACGAATGGCACTCTGAGCCGACTTGTATAGCAGTTTGCTCCTCCCCTTTTGGCAGGTTAAAGCTCCATTTATTCGTGCAGGTACACCATGTGAACAAATCCGGCTTCAGTATCAAGAATAAACAGGAGTTTCCCCCATATGCGTTCAACACAACGCTCGTTCCCTTATCTCAGTGAACCGAGGTTATGTTAATAACCGGAGCGACTTTTTAAAAATCTTGCACCACTAGCAGACGCAGGATTCTCGTGAATAACCTTGGCTTGCCTGCTGCATCTCTCCTATTGAAAATAAGCTGAGATTGCGGTTGCCACCTAGTAGACGAAAGGGGCATTTCAGGGCCGTCCACACATTCTAAACACATATTAAAGCATAATATAATTTTTTACCCATGAACAAAAACATGAAAAATTTAGCTTATTTTTTTCAATTTCTTGAACAAAACTAAAAAATGAAAATCAAACTGCTTCTCATTTTTCCTTTATTTCTTCGTATGTAGAAAATTAAATGACCAGAAGGTACACGGACCTGACGACCACATAGTCAGTTTTTCAAATTCACATTTAAGGTCCCTGGAAGGATGCAGACACTCTCCACCTTCAAATGCTTCAAATCAGTATGAGCATGAGACACTGACATTTACTGCTATCATAACATTAACTAATCAACACAGATACACCAGAGAAAGATACTAATAATAATAAAGGTTACATACTATCAAGCCAACCATCCCCATGAAAAAAAGAAAAAGAAGAAGAGAAAAAAAAGCCTTAATAAAGGTACTAAATAATATCTTATTGAACATGTAAAAATGTAGAAATCTTTGTGTGACTGTTAGTTGAGACAGAAAATGTGTATCATTTGCTCAACATAAAAACAATAGAAGCTGATGAAAGCTTTTGATAGAAAACAAATGTTTTCTTCATTCTCTCTAGGTTTGGAAAAACACAAAACGTTGCTCAGCTGCATTTTAAGCGGTTCATCTTCATAAATTGTAATTTGTTTAATTTAGAACTCAGAACATCACGAATCTCTGCACAACACATCAACTCAAAAGGTAAATTAATTAGTCTTTAGTTAAACTTGAATACTGGACTGTAATTTAAAAAGGAAATGCTAGCTCAGAGCATTTAATTTGATGGTACTGAGGAAATTCAGGTTAATAAATTGCACTCAGTATTTTAAGACATGACACATTTCTTACATTCAAATATGACAGTTGTATTCATTAGGTGGCTAATTAAACAAATGGCTCACATTATGACTTTTCTTCAAACTGTGGTTAAAAATAATGAGACATTCTCGTTTACTTAAAAATACTGCAATTATCCATTTATAATCTGATAGCATATCTGTATAGCTTTCAGAAGCTTCACTAAATAAATCTTGCATGAAGTACATGCTTTATCATGTCAGATCTGTATGTGTGACGTGCATGTAGTACTTCAGCATACTGTCTGTACCCATTTTCTCAAAAATCATTCATTCAAAACTGACATAATGCACCATTTCAAAGAAATCACATGCTATTGAAAACATTATTACTATTCACACCTTAAACTGCTTTTGAACACCCAAAATGACAACTGCAATGCAAATTATAGAAACTTTATGGCAGTTTTAGAACACATTGTGTCATTAAATGATAGATGGCAATGACTAATGATTGGGAAAATAAAGATGTGGAAAATAAAAGGACAAAATTTGACAGACTTGGTTTAGTAGAATGAGAAAAATACAGAAGTCCTGAGGTCTAAATGTAGGTGTAAAAAGTCTTATGGGGCATATTTTTTAATCTCTGAGCAGATGTCACCAAAATGCATGGGAAATGAAGATGGGGTACTGACACTTTACTGAGAGTCTCTTAACTGAAAGAAACTTTTCACACAGACATTAAAAAAGGATCCCATGAGAGTCACAGAGAGAGATTGTAAAAGAGCACTATAAACCATAATCATTCAAGTCTGTCTTTTGAAGTTATGATGGGTGATTTTTCCCGCAGGTGAGCATCTACACTGTGTGAATGTCAAATCTGCATATCAGCATTGCCATAGAAAGACTTGACAATCCATGTATAATAGAGGACAAGTGAGGCATTTCCACAGCGGGTTCTTTGGACAGAGTCAGTATCCAGTGTTGAGTATTCTTATGATATGTAAATTAACAGGTACATAGCTCTAGTTAAAAAACAAGGTACAACAAATGCTACCATGATAAATAAATACTTTAAGATAATTATTATTTTTATTATTGTTATTGTTGCAGTAATTAGTGAGTGAGTAAAATTATCTAAAATGATTAATGTTATTGTCCATGATAATAAGGTTTTTTTTTTTTTTTTTATGTATTTATTTAAATTTTTGGTGTAAAAGATGACATTGTGACCTGTAAAATTAATTCATAAGTTTAAAATAGATATATACTGGGGCGAAAGACTTTAGTCTTAATTGCATACAGAGTCACATGATCTCTTAGGGGCCATTTACACAACAAAACTGAAAACTTTTGATGTGTTTTGGCTGTTCGTTTACATGACAACGGTGTTTTGGAGGCCTGAAAATGCAAACTTTTGAAAACGGGTTTCCATTATTGTCTCGGTGTAAACAAAACATATATTTTTGTGAAAACGATGATGTAAAGCGTATGCATATTATATACGTGTTTGTGTAGTGTTTCTTTAAAAAGTGACATCATCAACTGGCCTGGCATGCACAGTATGGCATTTTAAGTCGTTTTCATGGATCCATGTGACCTAGGGATCGTTTTGACATGTCATCTGTACGGGAAAAACACAAAGGAAAAATGTTTCCATTTTTTTACATTGTTGTATAAACGTACCCTTAGACACCACAATAGTGGAATAACACCCTCAAAAGTAGCAACCACAAGAACAATCCAAATCCTTCTCCTCCTGTTTAGAGCACCACATTTCCCTATTATCTGCTCCTGGAGTTTAACAGATGGACCTTTTCCCTCTTTGCTGTTTCTGTAGTGATATGCTAGTCAGCAGGGGCTGTTTTTCAGTGGGGAAGAGTGAGGCCTGACTGGTTACGTGGAGGCGTAGTGTTAGCACGGTGTGCTAAACCTATTAACCGCATTACAGGAAGAAAAAAAATCTTCTTAACACTGTGCCGAAGCCTTTCATATGGCAGAGAGAGCTTGAACCATATTTCTCTGACTCGTCGCTCGTCTCCATTTGGAATCGTTCCAAACCGACAGGACGGAATGAAGAAAAACAAAGAAAAAAAAAGTGTCCCACTTTTATTAAGTGGCCCTAACACCTGTGTACTTACATAGTAACTAGATGTGTACGTAGTATGTAACCACAGTACACATTGGTACATAGTATCTACAGCGTTATGGGTTTTACTTTATTTTTGATCAAATAAATGCATCCTTGCTGAGCAGAAGAGATTTCTTTCAAAAAAAAAAAATCTTACTGACCCCTTTTTGAATAGTGGTGTATATTGTATAATTTATTTATAATATATATTTTAAAAGCATGTATTTGGCCCTTATAACAGCCCACATAATTAAAAAAATGTAACTGAATGCCACTTGACATTTATAATATTTGATTGGACTGGACTTGAAATATCATTAGGCATCATTAGTTTCCCAAGGAGCATATATAACTTATATATAATATATATGAGTGTTAAACTCTACACGCGCTACAGTGAACGAATGCTGCATTCTAT